CCGGTATTTTATTGTATTAATTGTAATAAAAATTTACAGTTTAAAAGCAACTCGAGTTTTAATTTGATAAAAAAGTCACACCGCGTCGTATTAGAGTTAAAATTGAAACCATGAAAGTTATAATTTACATATGTATTTATTAATTCAAAATAAAATACAGCAATTCATTGATTCGTTATTAAATAACTTAACAACTGATTCCACAAATTTATTGCATCATTTGCTCCTCCATGACTTTAATAATCCATTCGGGTTGAGCTTTTGAAATCAGTTCAATAATTGAATTAACTTGATAACACAAGGATTGAATTTGTTTATCCCACTGGGGCAACGTTTCGCGGGCTGTAAAGTTAAAATAAATAAATATATGAAACACAGATACCAAAGTCTCACTATGCAGGTTTCTATCACTTTTGTGATAGCAAAACCTAAGAAAAATAAAACTTACTTTCAAAATGAACTATTGAGTCGATTTGATCAATATATCCATTCATTCTTCCTTCTGTGATCATTTGACTTGCGATTTTTTCGGCTTTAGAAGGATGAATTTCCAGTAAAGCGCCAAGTTCTTCGAATGTAATGTTGTTATATAATTTACTGGCTGAAAGCAGATTGTGTTCTACAACAGCACGATCTAGAATTGTAGTGCCATCAACTGTGGTGGCTTTTTGATGTGGCTGAAGAAGTGCCTCGAATTCTTGTAAATGGGAGCGCCTAATAATTCGATCTAAATACATTTTTTCAAGGATTGGAAAGGCGGGGAGCTGCTGACAACGCTCGTCTTTGAATAAAGTTGCCAACATTCTAGATCTTTGCTGACCAGCAGATGCTAAAACTGTGCAAACCAAAGCGTTGCGAAGAGCTGTCATACGCTCATCTAAAAATTATAAGTTTGGTAACAATTTACACTTAAAAGCTGCCAATTTTTCAGTTACCTTCATGTATAATATTTCTATAAGATAATTCATTGTATCTCTGTGCTGCTTCGATGAATTTTCTTCGATAATCTAAGACTCTTGCATAGCAAACTTTATAGTAAATTTGCAGTTGTTCATTTTTTGATTCTGCTTGTAATAATGAAGCTCTATTTATAAAGGCTTCGGCCTGGACTGGATCATCATCTTCCAGGTATAAACGAGCTATTTTCAGGTATGTATCCAGTTTATAATCAATAGTGTACTGTCTGTACATCAAATAAGGATTAGAATATTTCAATGAGCGCCGAATATTTGACTTACTTCTGACCAGTTTCCAAAGGAATGCCTACCAAAACGTTGGCGGCCTCTTTCCAGTTTTGACTTTTTTCATATATTTCTGAAAGATGTTGCCGAATGCTGGCTACTTGTTCTTCAAATGAAATTACTCGCGGTTGTACTTTGTCCAAAATAAAGTGTGACACCACTCTAGATACTTCATGAGGTAATTTTACTAAATACGAACTAACATCAGTAAGAATTTGACGAGAAATCACTAAACTAACGTTCTCATTTACGACTAAAACAAAAATTGGGTTAGAGTTAATATGTTACTTAAAGAAACATTCTTCTTACTTGCTTCTATAAAAACTTGCAAACATTCGACTAATTCATCACTGGGATCTGCTAAAATTGCCTCTAAAATCCCACGATACCTACGTAAAATTATAAATACAACAAAATAAACATTAACAATTGTATGTTCTTACTTCTCTGCTTGTTCTTTATGTGATCCACCAGAATTAATAATGTTTGTTAATTGCTGACGAACGTTGTTTGTCTTTGAAGACATTATATGTTATTTTTGTGACAATATAGTGATAAAATTAATAACAAATTAAGGTTTGGATTATAAAATAAACAACTTTTTTTGTAGGTTACTTTATACGTCACTTTTTGTGGCTGTATAACACCCAATAAAAACAAAGTAATATTTCTTAAAATTTTTACAAAGTACAGTAAATTTTCAAGTTATTTATTTAAACACATTTTTTTTATAATGATTAAGAAAATTGTTTCAATAATTGGAAAATTGACTGTTTAATAAAGTTGTTGAATTGGATCCAACGGACTGAGTTGTGGTTGTGCCTAATGAACCGATCTATTTCAAATTGAGGTTATAAAGTATTTTTTTAAATAGCCATATAAGATATATTTAAATGACGGAGGAAGAAAAACTAGTAATGGGGCCCAAACCGGGCGTAAATTACCCTTTAGAAGTGATTTATTGTGGCAATTGTAGTATGCCATTAGAGGTAAGCAAAATATGAACTTTACCTAAGCATAAGTATTACCCTTTAAAAAATGCTTCTTCAGTATTGTGAATATTATCCTGAATACGAAAAATGTAAAGCATGGTTAGAAAAAAACTTACCATCAGAATTTGAGAAGCTCAAAGTGAATGACACCACTTCGGAAGGTGCAGGAGATGAAGAGAAAAAACGTCAGAAACGCGGTGGAAAAGGCATAATGAAGACCAAGAAAAAAGAGGAAGGCCCTAAACAAGTTTGTATTTCCAGGGCCCCAAGAGGAAAGAAGAAATCAGTTACTGTAGTAACTGGGTTAAGTAGTTTTGGTAATTTATTGTAAATGTTGCATTTATTTTTAATTTTACCAATTACCATTTTTATTTATAGGAATTGATTTAAAAGTAGCAGCCAAATTTTTTGGTCAGAAATTTGCATGTGGGTCTTCTGTGACAGGGGATGATGAAATTGTGATTCAAGGGGATGTGAAGGATGATTTATTTGATATAATTCCTGAGAAATGGCCAGAGGTAAGTTCAGGTTTTATTCAATTTATTTCTCTAATAACCATGTTAATGATTTAAGATTGATGATGATTTAATTGAGGACTTGGGGGATCAAAAACGATGAAACAAATGTCACTGCTCAAATTATATAAGTCTTTCAGTCTTGGTCATATATAATTTTGAATGCAAACAAGTTATAATTATGTATGATACAAAAGAACAACTAAATTGTGCTTTACAACAAATCATAATTATCTTGTTTTTATTATAATTAGAAACTATATTAATAAAATTTAAAAGATGACACTAAAGTTTTCTTTGTTTCTTTAATATTAAAATATGTGAATACATCTATACAGTTAACTTAAGGAATATATAATGAAGTATATCAAAAATTTATCACCATCATGTTCCTTCTACCTCCTCCTCTACTTCTGCCTCTATTTTACGAACGTGTGGAAAATGCTCGGTAATTATTTGTAAGATTTCTTCAACTTGTTCTTCTGTTAGCCTTTCTTCACTTTCTTCTACCATCTTAAATGTAAAAATTATCAATAATCCCTCCATCTTAATGAACAACTTACCAATTGAATTTCCAGTGGAGTAATTGGTGGTGTATTTATTAACATAAGTTTTTCGTTTTTTGTCAAGTTGTAATGTTTCAATGCCTTAAGACAATTTTCAATGCTTTCCGGGGTCTGATGTTTACAAGGTGTACTCTCAAGGTATCGTAGAGTCTAAATAACATATATGAGGGTAATATATAATCAATCGAATGTGATAGATTTTACCTCATAAGTGATAGTAGCTAGCTGCCCCTTGTTTCTTTTCTTTCCTTCTTTTACATTTTGAAGATGGTTCATAACCTCAAAATTACTTAATGTGGCCACTTTTGTATTAATACTAAAAAAATGTACATTGTAAATACTATTAAAGTTTAGGAATAATTATTGCTTGTCATACATTTCCATTATAAAGAAATAAAATCCGGTTTTTGTTAAAAAGTATGCAGCGATGGCATTTTTAGGTTATTACCTTTGTTTACTTGCTTTGTTGAACGGTGTTGGTAAGGTAGATCACATAGGTGTTACAGTTTATACGATACCCGATAGGTGCTGCCTCTGTGGGAACATGTATACACTAACACTAATTTAAAATTCGAAACTTTAAGGCGCCAAACTTCATCATCAGTATACTTTTCGTTAAGTTTAACACTATATATGTTTTGTAAAACTTGTAGTAGGATTGTACAAATATCTACCTTGAATAAAACAATTAGTAAAAATAATAAAAATTTATTACGTAGCACATTAACAAAAAAAAACATTTAAAAAATTACGAGCACTAAAAGTTTCTTCTGATTTTGTTGAATTGTCTTCCCGAACTAGTATCATTAAGACAAGGTACTTGAACAAGGTTAAAATAAATATTTCCCAATAAATTTGCCGATGGAGAATCGGCTTGTTTTAAGCATGAGTACAAAACATCGTCGCATGCACAGTGAGACTTAGTATATAACGAATCGTTCGTTAAATTATATCGTTTAGAATATGCCCTAATTTTCACAGGGCAGAGGTCATGAGCCCTACAGCATCTGTCCGTACTAATTTCACTTCCTAAATCGTAATATGACATTGCAATATCACCAGTTCCACACCATTTTGTACCTAAAAAATATTCCGTTTAAAATCTGTAAATTTAATAAATTTTCAAACATAAAATTATAACTGCATTATATGTAAGCCCAGATGCAAGCAGTTGTTATAAAGATGGACATTTAAATTATACGGGGAAGTGTCAAAAATTAATTGAATTTGAATAAGGCGCGCTTGGAGTAATGTACTGCACATGTGCCATGCTGATGAATACTTCGTTTACGCGGCATTAGTCGAGTAGCGGTTGCAAACGTGCGTGTTGATTATGTGTGGTTGATCTTATGTATTCTTATTTTGACTTAATTTTACGAAGTTGTTGTAAATGTTCATTATTAAATATTTATTTGTTATAATCGAATTCAAAACTTAACAAATACATTCAACCTAAGAAATACCATTAAGCTATTCGTTTGAGGTTACAATATTTTGGTGTTGTTGTCCCACAGAGAATAGCCTGCTTTCATCTTAAATTTTTAATAGAATGGGTTAAGAGTATTTATTAGGTTTTGTATGAATAAAATTGTAATTAGTAAATGTTATGTAAGGGATATTTTACAATAATGTAATAAAATAGAACCAAAAGTAGTAAAATGTAATCAATGCGCATGCGCTGCACCATACTAGTTTTTCGGTTGGTACTTGCTCCAGTAGGATGAGAAGCGTGCGTTGTGTGTAGTTTTCGGTTTGAACTGGTAGTAGTGGCTTTTCCAGGAGTTTTCCTTTAATAAAATCTAAATAAAACGCGACTACCTTGTGTTTTAATAACGCGGACGGGATAAAGATGAACATAACGCGCAGACAAACTTTCGAAGCGAAGTGTATAGTTCTTCCGTTAAGTGATACTAGAATACGGTTCATTTTTTCCAAGATGGAGTCATCTTGCACGCGGGAAGAGGTTGCCAAGGTTTTACTACACTATGTAAGTCCATATAATTATTGTTTCTGTTTGTGTCGTTTCTGATAAATAATTATAGGTTCGGGTTTATGGTATTGTTAGCTGTTTCGTACCTGTAATAAGTTATTTGAACCGTATTTACTACGTTTACTAGGCACATTTGGGACGAGCTGTTTTTCTAAAAAAAAAACATTGGCGTAACTTACACTGTTATAGGGTAGATGATATTATGCACATGTGACATGGACGTGCAATATTCTGGCGATTCAGAAATATCTTGCGCATTTCTCATATGAATAATTTGATAGGTTGTGAATTTAAAACTTTATGGTGCTGCACACGTATAGTAAATAGGAGATGAAGACATTTCCCGTATTATAATAGGAATTGAATGCCTAAATGTTGTTATGATAAATGGGTAAGTTCGGGGTAAATATGTAAGATTATATTTCGGAGGCAGCATTGTTTTTTTGGGAATCCAATTTTTACTAAAACCCATTAAAGGCAGGGTAGTAAGCTGTGATATATTTTGTTCCACAAGTGTCATAAGTGATTGTACAAAAAATTCTTCAAACGCCAAAATGATTCATTTATGTGCTCTGTCTTCGGAGCCGATGTTGAATGTTTTAAACAAACAACGTAACTCGTCCAAGTTACGGTTCTGGATGTTGGAAAAGTGTATGGTCTGGGACATGCATCCCCATTCAAGGCAATATTTCCGGAGCGAAAGCGCAATAAGATACGAAATGGAACGACATTTTCAACTGTACGATAAAGTGATCCATCCGTTCAGCCGCTTCGCTATGTTTTGGGAGTCAGTAATGGTATTTGCAATTTGTGTGAATCTTGTGCTTCAGCCCTTGTGTTCAGCATTTGAATTCGACGTCGTCTCTTCAACGTTGCTCATTCCTTACGTCTTAATGGTGATTAATGTCATTTTTACAACTGATTTAATAATAAATTTCAATAAGGGTTATGGGGACGATTTTACTCGTACGGTTACTCTCGACAGATCCTTAATAGCCAAAAGGTATTTGCGTGGGATGTTTCTGATTGATCTCGTTTCTTCCGTTCCTTGGGATCTGATGGCGCACACACTATTTCCCGATACGCAACAAGGGAGGAACGTTATGTTGACTATGCATCTGATAGCGTTGATTTCGTTACTGCGAATCGGTACTTTGATGACATACCTGAAGACCATTTTGGACATGTGGTTTTTCTCTGGGAATTTACAAATGCTAATCAGACACAGTATCGGGGTTATATTTTTGCTGCATTGGACGGCCAATCTTCATTACTTGGTACCGAATATTCAGAGACATTTCAATGGAGGTTGGTTTCCTGAATCATGGACAACAACATGGCAGGTAATGAGTATTTACAAAATTTAAGTTAGTGGACACAGAGTGGGTTGCTGTAAATGTTCGAGGGGACTTACAATATTTTATTTGGAGGAGGTGGGCAATGACAATCCCACCTGTTTCTTAACATTTCCGTATGTCTGTTTGGAATGTTAATACTTATACATATAGGATAGGTACAAAATGAATTTGTGTCCATTAAAACTAATTTTTTTTTAAGTGAAACTTCTTTACGCACGGTAGGGTAAGTTCGTTTCATGCGAGTTGCTATGTAACGAAATCATGCAACGCATTTCCCCCGTTGTCTGTCAACGGATTTTAATGCGGTTTTTTTTAATAGGTAGAGTAATTCAAGAGGAAGGTTTATATGTATAATACATGCATAATATAGTAGAGAAACACTGATAATTTTAGAGGTTTGTAATGTGATGTCGTAAATAAACACATTTTTTGCGCTTACATTGCAAACGCTGGCTGAACCCTACGAGATAGATCAAAATAATATACTACAGTATTGTACACCTTAAAAAGGTCTACAAAAAAGTCCGGGATGGTATATGTCTATCTCTTAGGGATAACCCACAATAACCATTTTTTATCCTTTACTTTTTACGAGAAATAATGGCTTATTTACGAAGCGATTTTAAGCAATACAGCATTAATCCTTATCCAATTAAGTACTTTTAAATACATTGTGCATTTAATATAGATCAATATGGCCCTTTGCAGCATGTAATTTAAATGAATATTTCCGAAGATATTACAGACTTAAAACGCAGGGGCATAGCGGTTGCGGCGGTACCGGTCGGTTTGTATTGTCTAATGACAATAAAGCTGTGATTGTTGTATATAAATACATTCAATAGTATATTTACTATCAGTATTGCACCCGTGCGAAGCGTAGTGTACAAATAATACCATTAAACCAATTCCATAACCCCTATCCCGGCATGTTTGTGTGTTTGAAGAAGTTTCACTTCAGTAGCGTGTTGTATAATTACACGTTGTATTTTTTTTTCTAATTCTTCCTTTCGGTTTCATTTCTTAAAATGCATACTTAGCTGATTTGAAACATATTATACTGAAATTTCAATTTCTGAATTTTTTACCCACTTCACGCTACCTCAAATTAATAAGGGAAAACAGCAACCTTGTAGGTCGGTTGGTCGTGGTTGCTGTTGTCACCTCTCGTAGTTTAGTGGTTAGAACATTGGTGCGTAAAGCCAAAGGTCCCGGGTTCGGTTCCCGGCGGGGGTGTGACAACAGCAACGATTTTCCCTTCATTAATTTGAGGTAGTTTGTAGTGGGTAAAAAATTCAGAAATTGAATTTTCAGTATTGGTAAGGCATCGATCGTAGCGACACGTAGTGACAATAATTCGAACCAATCCTATCGGGTTAGCTGTTACACAGCGAGTAGAAAGAGATACATACGTAATTCTTTTTATTTTTATTATAATAGAAGAAAATAAATAAAATTATTTTAAAGTATGGAAAATCAATCTGAAACAAATGGAGCAAGATTTTCTCCAAAAAAACTACGAGTAAAATGTTTTGTTGTGTCTATGGTTGCAAAAGTAAAGCGTTTAACAATCCGGGCGTTCGTTTCCACTATTTTCCAAAACCAAATAGTTACTATGTAAAAATACAAAATTATTTCGGTAATTCGGTAAAGTCGATTGCCATAAAAAATGGCAAGAAGTTTTAAAAATTGGGGAAACAGTAATTCAGCACATGCAAGTTTGTTAGTTACATTTTAAAAGAAGTGACTATGTTCCACCTGGTAAATATTCATTTTTTTGCATAATTACTTTAAGCTATAACTAATTATTTAAAATTAATTCAAATATTAATTACGTTAATCAATATTTTGAATTTTGTGGACAATGAGACATGTTGACTCTATTTTTAAAGGTTTCAAATTCTTGAAGAAAGATGCCATACCTTCCTGTAATTTGCCTTCATGTAATATAAAAGAGCCTTCAGATGACCAGAAACGAATTAATAGAAGTATGATTAAGATTAAGATTAAGATTAAATAGAGAAAAAAATCGTACTGAAGCTAATATAAACCAACAAAATGGAAATTGTGGTAACCTAAACGATGAAGAAAATATTTTAACAAGTTCTGACCTTCCAATGGCAGAAAATAATGATATAAACTCTCTCAGCGTAACTCATATCGATTATTTATATTATTTAATATGCCACAATATATTAAATGACCAGCATTCACAACTTTCTCTCCTTCAACGAAATTACGGCTTTTTATTGATGAGTTCAAGAACTCCAAAATTTCACTCAAATTGATTGATTCGAATTAATGTCACGGCGTGTCGCTACGATCGATGCCTTTTACCAATAATATTTCATATTAAACTAACTCACTTCAAAAAAAAAAAAGATGCCTAAATTGTATGTATGCTTAGGTGATTTATTTGAAGTCCAAGGTGGACAGATACATCCACAGTTTATTCAGAGCGACATGCCAGTTAAGTGCTACTGACCATGGTCTCTTCCCCATCGAGTCCTTAGCAGATATGCTGGTCACAACTTGCACGTACATTGTGGGCTACATTTATATCACCTTTGTTACCGTGATGGCCCTTCATTATCTCATGTCTCGCAAATCTTCGGAAATAAAGTATCAAGAGGTGATGAGTCAGCTTGATAAATACATTCTGTATAAACAATTGCCCATCGAGACCCAAGAGCGTATTCTTTATTACTATGAGTATAAATTTCAAAAATTCCAATTCAGAGAAGAGACCATCCAAGATTTCGTACCGGAATCGCTTAACCGCGAAATAAATTACTACGCCTCCAGAAAACTGATCGAAAACGTTTCGTTACTCCAGGAGTTTTCCCAAGACGTGGCCGGCAAAATTCTGTCGTGTATGAAAATTGAAATTTACTTGCCGAACGATATAATAATAAATGCTGGAGCGCCGGGAGAATGCATGTACTTTTTGGGGAACGGAACAGTTGCGGTGTACACTCCCAGTGGCAAGGAAGTGTGCCATTTGGAAGAAGGATCTTATTTTGGAGAGATAGCCCTTGTTTTAAGGGATCGAAGAATCGCAACTGTTATAGCGATAGAAATTTGCGAAGTGTACCGTCTGTCTAAGGAAGATTTCCAAAAATACATTGCCAGCGAAGACCACCTACTCAGAAGGTTTACTATCATAGCCGAAAGACGGATTAAGAAGACTTACGCGTTGGAAGAAAGGCACAAGCAGTACTTGCTGGACCATTCTACTAAATGGGAAGAAGGGTTTTGATTTATTCTAAAACCAACACCATATATACAGGCTGTGACATGAAATAGGGTTGGGTGAAGCAGGAAGACAGGAGACATCAAAGATTAAACAAAATAAATTACCAAATACCGCTCAATATACATGGGGATGTTTTGGTTAGTCCTTGAAATCTTGCTAGCGCTATTTTAGAGTATTAGTTAAGTTGTTGTTCTTGTAATCAGTTGTTGAAAGTTTTTCAATAAAAATAAGAAATCTTACCTGGTATAATTCCACTGAATAGTGCAAAAGGATTGCTTGGAAGTAATCCCCGGTTTAATAGCTGCGTATCTTCAACATTGGCAGTTACTTTTGTCGTGTTTAGGTAGTGATTTTCCAATTGCCAGCACTGAGACATAAGTTTTAGCATTTCCTCAAACGATATCATTGCGATGTTCGTATTTTTTAACGACTCCCCTAGCACTTTTGTTACTTCATCAGGTTCACTGAAAATTAGAATAATGTTTAGAAAATAGTTTAGTATAATAGGTCAGAAAACAAGTTTTGGTTAGAGATTATTTACTGGTTCACGCATTTTTACTTGTAGTTATCTCCCAGCACTGTATGAGGATACGTTGGTGCGACACACTTTTTAATTGTGTTGTAAGTGATGAAACTTTCTGGTACAGTAACTTGCACATGTCGCATAGTGCATATAAACGCTCTAATAATTAATTACCTTCGAACGGTCTCGCGCAAATAGTAAAAGTTCCAAGGTTGTTTTTTGAAAACGAAGACATTTCTAACTTTTATGTTATTTATTAGGTATAGTTCGTTTATTTTCTGTAGCGATGTGACCTTCAGTTTGACCGGCGCAAAGTGGAATAGAACAGCACTAGGCCAGAAAAGGAAGGAGACAACTCTCGGCCAAACTCTTAACCGGTGAGGAGTGTATAATCCGTACGGAAAATCTGACCATTTTATCCACTACAATTGCATTGCTCAAATGTGCTGTTATTGGTACCAATTACCACTGAAAATATCAACGAGATGTTTATTTATATTTGAAGACATATTAAAGGCTTTAACGCTTGTTTTCGACTCGCACTACTATTCATGATTGAACAAAACTTTTGGCAGGTACT